TGAGTCTTTGCTTTGCTTGCTATGTCATTTTCATATTGCCTTTCTGCCTCTCTTCTCACCCTGACGTATTCATTCCTGGCATTCTGGTACCTTTCTCTGCTCTCTAGTGTCCTATTATTTCTATAGTTTCTCCATGCCCTTGCACTTAGTTGCTTTGCTAGCTTACATCTCTGATTAAACCATGGGTTTCTCATCTGCATTTCCTTTTTTTTCCTTTTGGACTGGGACGAACTTGTCTGTTGCTTCCCTACACTTCTGTGTGATGAAGTTCATCATGCCTTGGGCCGTCTTTCCTCCGAGCTCTGTTTCCCAAGTTATATATGTTAGAAATTTTCTTATCTCATCATAGTTCCCTTTCGGAATGCCAGCCTTTGTTTCCTGGGCTCTTCCTTGAGTACATTAATCCTTCTTCTACCAAATACTCAAACATCAGTACACTGTGATCACTCATTCCCACAGGGGTTTCGAAACCAAGTTCCCTTATGTCTGAGTCATTTAGAGTGAAGACTAGGTGGAGTCTCGCTGATTCATCATTGCCTCTCATTAATGTGGATCCTCTGACCTGCTGACTTAAAAAGTTTCTTGTCGCCACTTCCAGCAGTTTAACTCTCCATGTTTCCTCACCTCCATGCGGTTTCTTGTTTTCCCAGTCTATCCTTCCGTGATTGAAGTCCCCCATGATGAGCAGATGGGATCTATTTCTACAGGCAGCAGTGGCTACTCTCTCAATTATAGTGTTGACTGCCATGTTGTTTCTGTCATACTCATGCCTGGGTGTTTTATCGTTTGGTGGATAGTTATATCACTGCTACTACTACTGCTGATCCTTCCAGCGTCACCTGCTACGTAGTTTCTGAACCCCTCAGAGCCTCGTATAACCATCTCCTCAAATCTTCACTCCTTTTTTATCAGTAGGACCACTTCACCTCCTCCCCTTCCTTCCCTCTCTCTCCTTATTACAGTTAATGATATAAATTTCATTTCTTAACTTTTTGGGATGCAATTTTCATGCCACTGCTGCCAAATAACGTTATATTTGTTTAAGATTTTATACTATGTTTCATATGTGGACGTATCTTATATTCATATCTTATCATTAATCGTCACCTAAAGTTCATCCCATAACTACTAAGTGATCATTTTACAAGACATATTGTTGCGAATATTAGGTCCAGTCGTCAACATAGGGTTAAAATTAACATTCCAGATATCTATCTCTCAACTGCATTTTTATGCTTATTTCCACAAGTGGCACACTGGGTATACACCCGTGTCAGTACACTGACACGGGTGTATACACTTTTACAGTTATCTTGGCAGTGCCATTACTGGTTATTTTAACAATTGCATCAAACTTAAGAAAAATAGAGCAACCGTTCATCCTCGTGGACAGAGGATCATATTATTATTAAAGAAGCTGAAGTGCTTCAGCTTACAAATTGTTACAAAAAGCAAAAGATCTGATAACTTATAAGCATTTCTCTATGCCAATTTAAACTTTCGCGAAATTAAGAAAACATATTGGGAACACTTCCTACAATGTATCATCAAAAGCACTACACCTTCATCAGAAACAAAATTAATGACATTGCTTAAGTCCTCCACCTAAGTTCAGCTTCATCCATACTCCTACAAAATATGCTGATATGCTTTTAGCTTAGTGGTCTAATATTGTGGGAAATTCCAACGTCCATTATGAATTCTTTAATACAATATGAATAAATAATATTATACCTGTTTTGTATTAATTAAATTTATATTAGAATACTTTAGCTACTCATCAAAGGGTGTGTACATGACCAATTCACCCCAGAAAAACATTATATTACCACGTTGCAGAAATTAATTTCACCTATATAATAATATAAATTTAATTCTCAATCTAACTGTATCATGACTGAAACCAATAAAAAAAAACTTCACTAAAATTATACTTAATTATCCGTTATCAAATGATTTACAATAAACTCCTCCTTCCAATTATTAATAAGAAGCGTAGTAAGGGACCAGCGTCCCTGATGCGGGAGGGAAGTGGAAGGGACCAACGTCCCTGGTGCGGGAGGGAAAAGGAAGGGACCAGGGTGCCTGGTGCGGGAGGGAAGAGGAAGGGACCAGCGTCCCTGGTGCGGGAGGGAAGAGGAAGGGACAAGTGTTCCAGGTTGTCATGAGTGCATGTGTCAAAAACGTTTGACATAGCTGTGTCTCAGAGGCCTGTTATGAATGTAGTGGTGATGGACCTTTAAATATTGTCTAGAGGAATGGATGATTGTATTTGAACCTAGGACAAATCAAGGAGTAAGGTAAACAGTCTTGTACAAAGACACAAATTTATATGTATAAAACACACGATATTACACATATGAAATGTTGTTCCTTACAACACAAGGTCAGTGATGAAGTGATATGATGGTCATTATGAAGTGAAGTGATCCTCAACATACCCTAAGGCTCTCTGTCCCAAACCTGGAACCGTGCACACAGCCACCACAGCTATCAACCGATGACATATTTACATGTCTAGGACACCTGAACTCTCTCTTAAAGAACACCTCCAAAGTCTGCATACTACTCTACAATATCTTGCATCCCTGTTTAGATACAAAGGTAGGCTTATCTGACTGTACGGTTGGAGAAAATCCCTCAAATAGCAGGACCGGGTCGGCAGCAATACACCTCCCCTTGTTACGGACCCCAGTCCAGTGTCCGAGCACGGAGCGGTGACGACAACGCCATCTGTGGGTCAGCTCCCGAAACCCCCTCCAAATGGACGAAGCCATCTAGTGAGGACAGGATATACCGGCCACAGGGGCTGGTTTCCCGTCTTAATCAGCTCGTGACATAGCCGCTGCTGAGCTCTGGTGAGGTGGCGCTTAGACAACAACGCAATCTATGGAGTGGATAGGTGGACGTTTGTTTCTAAGTCTGTAAGTGAGGTGTCCTAGAGTGTCCCCAACACTAATGACATGTCTGATTACAGAGTCGACCTGGGACTGCTGTATCGGATGATGGGCAGTCTACCCAAGGCAGCCAAAGTCTCTCCACGTGTTTGCTGAAGAAGCTGTGAGTTGCTCCCGGACGAACACTGTTGAGAGTGTTAGCCTGCCTGTGACGTGGCAGAGTTGAGGAATCGTCGTACCCGGGGGTTGACTGGTGGAAGAGACTAGCCACTGTGGTGCTATATAGAGGAGAGTGATCAGCGGGATCACACGAGGTTCCTGCCTAGGGCTCGCAACCCTAGTATCGATCGTGGAGTGGCCTATGCAGCGGAGCTGATTGGAACCTGCCAGCTACAGGCTGGATTTGTGGTTGAAGGCCTCCACGACGGTGCACCCAGTGGGACTGTGATTTGGCTGGCCTGTGGCCTGGGTAGATTCGCCTAGAGAATCTAAGGATTCATCGTGAGGCCACAAGAAAAGAACCAGGGCTACTCATCTTGAGCACCGTGGAGTATCCTGTGTCTTCGGAGGAAGACAAGTTATTGTATATAAGTGTAGTTATAGTCCCAGCGAGTGACTGTGAGATATTTATTTATGGTGGTGGTGATTATATATACATAAACCAGTGAATTTGTATCCCTTCCCCTTTAATTTACTTGCATTACGGAACTCACCCCTTGAAAGGCACTACTAACTTGGGGCCGGATACCCAAACTCTAATAACATCAGAGAAGAACCCCAGTTACGACCCAATATGGCCGTAACACCCCTTAAGTCAAGATGGCGTCCACCTCTCTTGCGTCATCGCACCTTAATACTCTTTGCTTTACATTTGCAATCAAATCCTTTATTGACTTTATTTACCATTTTCCCCATGCATGCTTTCAGACTGAGTCCATTTTTCCCTCACATAGTTAGGCTGTTCCAGTTCACATTATTCCTGACAATCTCCAGCTGAGAAGGTACTACTTTGCTGGGCGGAGTATTACTGGTAACTCACGGCCTCCCTGATATCAGCTGTAGATATTTTCTTATCAAAAATTCTCCCCTATGTCCACCAACATTTTATACTCTAAACTAACCTCCACAGGAAGTAAGGTTCGTAACACCCCTCCTAAGCTGTGGAGTAAAAAAAGAGAAATTCATGAATTTCACTTTTTTTCACATAAAAATAACGCCTCAAACATAATTCATAATAATTGTAAAGAAACAGTAAATGATATATAATAAATAATAGATACACAATAATATATATACATCTCTGAACAATAGTACAACCCTATGTCACCCCCAGAGTTTGGCAATCTAGAAAGTGCATCTGGTACTATATTTAATTTTCCTGGAATATAAACTTACATTTGTGTAAGTTTACAGTTAAATTAACCTCCTTTAAGGATTTTGATAGTTGAGCTAAACCTTTCATATGGTCCTCCCAATTATTTTCATAAATTACAATATCATCCAAGTAAGCTCTACATTGTGGTATGTCTTTTAACACTAAGTTCATAAGACGCTGGAAAGTTGCTGGGACATTTTTCAGCCCAAAAGGCATTACAGTGAATTCATACAACTCATCTGCAGTTATAAATGCACTCATCTCCTGAGCTCTTGGTGTTAAAGGAATTTGCCAGTACACTTTTGACAAATCTAGTTTGGGTACAAACTTGGCTTTACCAACACTGTCAATGCAATCATCTAATCTAGGTATTGGAAAGTTATCATCAACAGTCATTACATTTACTTACGGTAGTCAATGACCAACTTGTGAGTTCCATCCTTCTTTGGAACCAAAATACAAGGACTACTCCAACTGCTGCTGCTGGGTCTCACCAATCCATATTGAAGCATGTAGTCGACTTCTTTCCGGATGAGATTCAACTTGGGTTGACTCAATATGGGTTGTGACTTGACAGGTTGGTTGTATGTCACCTCGATGTCGTGGTGAATAATTGTAGTCTGGGTGGGAATATCGCCAAAGATGTCTGCATGAGAAGTCAGCAACTGCTCCAAATCCTGCTTCTGCTCTGATGACAAATGTTCCACCATTTTCTGGACATTAGCCAATCACTCCCCATTCCTAAAATAAAGTACATAAGCATTAGTTACATTATCAAAATCACATTCCCCATTATTCTCATCTACATGGGCTACACTAAGTACCTGGTTGGTATTGGTAGTTCCCTTCTGTGTTAGTTTCATCCTATTCACATGCACTACTATTTCCTTTCTCTTGAGATCATGGGTTTTAATTACATAATTGGTGGGACTGAGTTTCTTTATCACTGTATAGAGTCCTTGGAGCCTATGCAACAATGTTGGTCCCTGTCGTGCCATTAGTACCACCACTTTATCACCTGCCTCAAAATGTCATCACCTTGTCTTTTTATCGTACTGTGCCTTCATTTTTCCTTGAGCTTCTTTAAGATGAATTGATGCTTTAGCCCTGTTTTTATTTAACTGGTCTTGTAAGTTATCCATATAGTTTGCCTGCACAACACTCTTCGGACTTCCGACCAACTTATCTCTTAAGATGGTTAGTGTGTTCTTCCCTGTATAATCATCATCTCATGGCCAAAAACTAATGAGTTGGGTAAACACCCGAGGGACTCCTGATAAGTATCCCTCAGTGCCATGAGCATCAGTGGAAGACCATCATCCCAGTCTCTGCCAGTTTCCATGCAACTGGTTCTCAGCATTTGTTGAAGGGTGTGATGCATCCTTTCCAAAGCACCTTGGCTCTCAGGATGGTAAGTCCTATGGAGGATGTCAAACTTTCCACAAAACTGCTGAAAACCTTTGAAGTGAAATTGGCCTCATTATCTGTCTGTATTACTTTTGGTAAACCAAAAAAGTACAAAATTTCATTATGTGCCTTACTACCATTACACACAGAAATCACACTAATGTGATACATCAAATGAACAAATCCATAAGGGCCGTGACGAGGATTCGAACCTGCGTCCGGGAGCATCCCAGACACTGCCCTAATCGACTGAGCTACGGCAGGGTAAAAGAGTTGAAACCAAAGTTCTACTGAACTTACTGGATCCCGTAGCCTCTCCGAGGCACAATCCAGGCTTTTACACAACCCCCCCCCCTGCATCCGAGCTATGTCAATAGGCCGTTCTCCCTCTTCGTCCTTAGATCATTACACACAGAAATCACACTAACGTGATGCATCAAATGAACAATGCATCGAACACAGGTTGGAATCCTCGTCATGGTCCTTGTGGATTTGTTCCTTTGATGCATCACGTTAGTGTGATCTCTGTGTGTAATGATATAAGGGCGAAGAGGGAGAACGGCCTATTGACATAGCTTGGGTGCAGAGAGAGTTGTGTAAAATCCTTTTTTGTGCCTCGGAGAGGCTACGGGATCCAGTAAGTTCAGTAGAACTTCGGTTTCAACTCTTTTACCCTGTCGTAGCTCAGTCGATTAAGGCAGTGTCTGGGATGCTCCCGGACGCAGGTTCGAATCCTCGTCACGGCCCTTGTGAATTTGTTCTAACTGTCATTGTTATGGCGTTAATAGTCCTTGAATGAAATACTAATGGTGCAGTGATCTGCAATGATTCAAGAGTAGCACTGCAAAGCCTAAGTAAAAATCGGGCAGAAAATCTTAAAATAGTCGCTGAAATTAGGAGAGATGTCGGAAACGCTGAAGGAGACCATATTGAATACTTCATACCCAGGACTCTTCTACAAATTAGAGGTATTGTCAGGCTACATCACCGTGACAAGATAACTGAGGAAAGGAGGATAGAAACACAAGTCAGTGAATCTGTACGATGGTACAACATGGTTGCAGTTGGCAACCCCAATCGTTTTGGACGAGGTTATCTTGAGATGATTTCGGGGCTTTAGTGTCGCCGCGGCCCGGTCCTCGACCAGGCCTCCACCCCCAGGAAGAAGCCTGTGACAGCTGACTAACACCCAGGTACCTATTTTAATGCTAGGTAACAGGGGCATAGGGTGAAAGAAACTCTGCCATTGTTTCTCGCCGGCTCCCGGGATCGAACCCGGGACAACAGGATCACAAGTCCAGTGTGATGTCCGCTCGGCCGACTGGATCCCATCGCGAAGAGGAGGAGGACGTGGGGGAGAATCAGTAATAGCGAGAATCCGTCTTGGATACAAATATCCATGGAGATTCAGAATGGAAACAACAGTTGATCAGCAGAGTTCCAGAATCTGTGGTGAGAGTGACGGACACCGCCTTGACCATCCTGTACGTGAATGTGAACACCTGAGAGACATTAGAAATATGTGTAGAATAATAAGCCCCACATTGTTTGAGTTAGGAAAACACTATTTGCCAAATATTGAGACTGTTCTTAATTCTCTCATTTTGCACCCCGCAAGATATCGTAAGGTTTTAAGGGTTGACACATGTTAATCTTCTTGTTTGCGGAGCTGTTCACTTGAGACAGTTAAATTACAGTTAAGTGTACCCAGCCGTGTCAGGGGTACAAGTAACAGGATGAACAACCCGGTGGGTTTTCTTCCTATTAGGGGTGCTGTATATTCTGCTATGTGGGTATGACACTCACAGGATGAATGGCGCTGCCCAATAAACTCGCCCCTCGGGGCAAAATTTAAAAAAAACAAGAGTAGCACTGAGATAGAGCTCCTAAAATTCTGTGAGTAGCTCACTTAATTAGTTGACAGATTGTTTATTAGTGTTTGATCATGTCCCTAGCGATTGTAAAAGACATATATGAATATAGGTTAAAGATTTTTTAAAGATGGTGAAAAAATATAAGGAGTTAGAGATGAATCGATATTGTGAAGGCGAGAGCGACACATCCTCACTTGCCTGAGGTCAGTGAGCGACTGAGGGGAGGAGCCTTGAGCGTTGCATGGTGGTTGATTTCAGTGTGGACTCATCTGAAAATGGGGGAGTACCCACCGCGGCAGAGCCTGCGTGCAGAAAGGGATATCGGAATTAGAAGTTTGTGTTGTGTAAATAAATGTATTGATATTTAATTAGGGAACATGTTATTATAGATTTGTTTATTATTTAAAATAATAATATATATAAGTTATTATAGATTAATAATTATATTATAGAATATTTGAATATGACCGAAAAGGTAAGATTAATAATTCTAACACGAATTTTCTCAATATTTCTTATGGTTTTCTTCACTGTCAGTGGTAATAAAAATATCAATTCTCCGAAATTAATTGTTTAATTGTCTCACGCCTGAACGCGTTTCATAATTCGTATTACATTTTCAAAGACAATTTCCCCACAAATTCTTCGTACTTGTACTCTATTGGATGAAGTGACATGGTACAAAAGTTTTGGGTGAGGTGACAAACACAAGACAGAACACTAAACAATGTGTATAAATTGGATAAGTGAACATATGATTGGAAGTAACTGCAGAAGGCCTATTTACCCATACTTCCTCTTGCTGCTTCCATATTGGTTCGGGGTCTTGAAGTGGGTAGAATATAGTTGTGCATTAGTTGGCTGTTGATTGCTGGTGTTGACTTTTTGTTGTGTAGTGCCTCGCTGATGTCAAGCCGCCTGCTATCGCTGTTCCTATCGATGATTTCTGTGTTGCTTGTTAAGATTTCTCTGGTGATGGTCTGGTTGTGAGAAGAGATTATATGTTCCTTGATGGCTCCCTGTTGCTTATGCATTGTTAGTCGCCTGGAAAGAGACGTTGTTGTCTTGCCTATATACTGAGTTCTTTGGGGCTTAAAGTCCCCAAGTGGGCATTTAAAGGCATAGACGACATTGGTCTCCTTCAAAGCATTCTACTTGGTGTCTGGGAAGTTTTTCATGAGTAGATTGGCCGTTTTTTTGTTTTATAATAAATTATTAATTGTATTTTCTGATTTTTGTCTGAAGGGATGACGTTCCTATCAACAATATCTTTCAGGACCCTTTCCTTCATTTTATGAGCCGTCGAAAATAAATTCCTGTAAAATAGTCTAATTGGGGGTACAAGTGTTGCGTTGGTTGACTCTTCAGAGGTTGCATGGTGTTTTACCTTTCTTTTTATGATGTCTTCAATGAAACCGTTAGAGAAGCTGTTGTTGACTAGGACTTTCCTTACCCTACGGAGTTCTTCATTGACTTCTTTCCATCCTGATCTGTGGCTTAGAGCACGGTCGACGTAAGCGTTGACAACACTCCTCTTGTACCTGTCTGGGCAGTCACTATTGGCATTGAGGCACATTCCTATGTTTCTTTGGTGTAGACTGCAGTATGGAAGCCTCCGCTCCTTTCCATGACTGTTAAATCCAGAAAGGGCAGCTTCCCATTATTCTCCATCTCGTATGTGAAACTCAATACAGAATTCTGCTCAAATGCCTCATTCAGCTGCTGCAGACATCTGGCATCAGGTACCTGTGTAAAAATGCCGTCAACATACCTGCAGTATATGGCCGGTTTCAAGTTCATGTCGACAAAGACCTTCTGTTCGAGGGTGCCCATGTAGAAGTTCGCAAACAGGACACCTAGGGGGAGAACCCATGGCGACCCCATCTACTTGCTTATACATGTGCCCATCTGGGCTCACGAAGGGTGCCTCTTTAGTGCAGGCTTGGAGTAGTTTCCTCAGTATGCTTTCTGGCATGTGAAGAGGAGTGCAAGCCGGGTCACGATACACTCTGCCTGCTATCATCCCAATTGTCTCGTCCACAGGTACGTTGGTAAACAGTGACTCCACATCCAATGAGGCTCTTATCCTCGTTTCCCATGCTCCGCGCAGTAAGTCAACAAATTTAATGGGAGACTTTAAGCTGAAAGCACAGGGTAAGTAAGGAGTCAGCAACCCGTTGAGTCGCTTAGCCAGTTGATAAATTATTATAAAACAAAAAAAAAACGGCCACTCTACTCATGAAAAACTCCCCAGACACAAGCAAGATTGCTTTGAAGGAGACCAACGTCATCTATGCCTTTAAATGCCCATTTAAGGACTGTAAGCCCCAAAGAACTCTGTATATAGGCAAGACAAAAACGTCTCTTTCCAGGCGACTAACAATGCATAAGCAACAGGGAGCCATCAAGGAACATATAATCTCTTCTCACAACCAGACCATCACCAGAGAAATCTTAACAAACAACACAGAAATCATCGATAGGAACAGCGATAACAGGCGGCTTGACATCAGCGAGGCACTATACATCAAAAAGTCAACACCAGCAAAAAACAGCCAATTAATGCACAACTATATTCTACCCACTTCAAGACCCCGAACCAATATGGAAGCAGCAAGAGAAAGTATGGGCCAATAGGCCTTTTGCAGTTACTTCCATTCATATGTTGTTACGGCCCTATTGGGTCGCAACCGGGTTCTTCTCTGATGTTATTAGAGTTTGGGTATCCGCCCCAAGTTAGTAGTGGCTTTCAAGGGGTGTGTGCCGTAACGCAAGTTAAATTAAAGGGGAAGGGATACAAATGCACTGCTTTATATATATATTTCTACCACCACCATAAATAAATATATCACAGTCACACGTGGGGCTATAACTACACTTATGTACAATAACTTGTCTTCCTCCGAAGACTCAGGATGTTCCACGGTGACAA